GCCTGCAAGGCTGGAATGATCTAAAATACACTTTTCAAACGCAAGAACAATTTTTCTGTAGTACCAAGCACACTGGGTTATACTCTGGACTAGGCAATACGTATCAGGCAAAAGTATTTACTTCTTAAACAGTGAATTTCAAGCCTTGCTGCTTATATTTGAATGATTGTTCATTTTCATATTTTGATGAATTCTCGATGTCAGCGTCACTTGCTTTGAACCTGGCAGTGCAACAGAGTACTGTATATGCAGGAGAGTCCCACTAGGCAGCTTCTTTTGAAACGTAACATTGCACCAACATAATTAAAGGGAAATTAAAACAAACTGCTTCATTTCTATTTCAGTATTTGTGACATAAAAAATGTTGGAAGGCAGCATTTTGCTTATTCACAAAACTGGATTATAACCAAATTTGCTACAATATACACTAACTTTGCTCTGTAACTTCAGTTTTTATTACATACTTTATGAGAAATGTTTTTCTGTGATATTCATCACTGTAATATGCAAGCCATTTCATTAATACAATGGATTCCACATTAATTTAAAATAATTACAAAGTTTTTTTCTAAAAGCACAGAGTAGTTTCTTTTTAGTGTGCTACTACTTCCACATATAAAAAAAGAGATTTCTAAATACAACTCATGCTTCTGCCTACAAAATTTATATGGACAAAAGAACATTGGTTATCTCTCGTGCATGTCCAAGCTGGTGCTGTCACGAAACACTTTCTTTTTACACTGAAATCCAACCTTTTCTACTTGATGGACAATGCCAAAATATTCCTAGCAGTCTCAGACCCCACGGAAAGAGGAGGTAATACATCTGCCTAGTGCTAATGCTGGAACTGGTTAGCAGAGAAAATTATGATCATGTTATTGTCACTAACTTCATACATTTCACTGATTGCATATTATATATTTTATATTTGGTACATGAGAGAAAAAGATTTTGACAATATCTCCCATTGCTTTTGTGAATGGCATAGCTCAGGAAGACATATGACTGTTTTTAAGCAAAAGTAACTTTTCTGTAATATGAGCAAAACGTGAATTAGAGCAGAAACATGATTTTATACGGTGCCATATAGTGTACCTCATGAAAGTTAACATTTTTCTTATTCATAATACAATAACTTTGGTGTGGTTGGATATGTAAACTTTGATCCTCTTTTTAGCACATCCTTCACGATCACATCTCCTATACACCGCATTCCCTGCCATGTGAGCATAAACAGAGAAAAGTAGGTGATACTAACAAATGCATCCCATGCTGAGCAACCCTACTTTCTTTGGGAGAAAAACAATTGAGATATTGCATTTCTACTTGTTATACTTCATTACTATTATAATATTGTAAACAAAATGGAGACTCCATAACTTCCACCTAGATCAGATGCTGCTTAATTTCTTCTTTTATATACTATAATTTCTAGTAACAGAACATTCTAACTCTGAACCTAGCACATATACACCCAAGTACAATACTGTCTCCCACTGGAGACGCTTCACTTATCAGTTTCAGACTCCAAAGTCTCAGGCTCTCCTATAACTACTCTTTATTCACATGCATATTAGCTAGGTACTTTGTCAAAACTTCTGTTTATATCTTTAATATAAGTCAAAAGCTTCCATACTATCTTCATCAATACTGAAGGAAGGTCACTGAAATCCATAAGCAACACAGATATTAATCCAACAGTGATATAACTATTTGGTAAAGCCATATATGCTTGGAATTCAGTTAATTTAGGTCATTGATAAGATCATTGTGAATCCAAGTGCATAATTGATGGAGCATGATCAGAAGGTTGACCTCTGGCTCCCTACCAGAAAAACTGAAAATTAATTTCAGAACAGATAATATACTCACCATAGTAGATACACGTGTACTGATTTAGATACTTATCTCAGATGCAATTCAATGGATGAAAGGTGGAATACTACACTCCCTATATACAGTGAAGAAAGTATTTCCAAAGGAACAGCTCAAAGTATATAAGGTAGATGGTAGAGACAAATAGTGTGAACATATATGGTGGCATGCATAAAAGTGTGAAATAACTGCTATAACTAAGTACATCTGCTCAACATGACATAATAGGTCAGCGAGAAGCAGTGAACAGAACTGAGAGGCTTTGCACTTTAGGCTGCACATCCATCTTCCTGTGTATAACAAGGAAGACATTAAAAGATGGAAGACTGTGATTTGGCCACAGGACCTTACTGGGCTATATTTATTATAATCAAGTGTGTGGCAGCAAAACAGACTGTTTTGCATAGACCGAGTCTCAGAGAAGAGCTGGAAAGAAATGCTGTCATACTCTACTAGCAAGGAGGGAGGAGCTGGTACCGGTGTGGTCAGGTGGTATGGAGGCACACAGACTCTGGGTAGAAATCAACAGAAATGAAGAGAATTTAATGTAGATTCACTGCAAGGCTCCAGAGAGTGTGAAAACGAGAAGTGAAAACTAGTCTTGTCACTGTTGTGGTAATATCATGCTGTGATTCTATTAAAGAATAGTCATAATTTCTGTTTGCAACTTACTCAACACTTGACCACAGTTTTACAAACAGCTTCATGTTCTTATTTACCCTGAACTTCTGAACATCTCGTGCATTTACATAGTAAACTCCTCACTGTAAACTATAGCTTGCTGTCTGATTAGTATAATCATGTTCCAATCTTTGTCAAGATGCATAGGAAATGCTCAAATAATAACAACAACAAACATATTCATGAGAGGCATTCCAAAACACACAGTCACAGCTGTGTTTTGTTTGAATTAAATGTGCCTTTTCACACTGGTATTATCTCCTATTCCTCCTTGAAAGCAATCTCAGTGTAGTAGACATTTATTTAAGTTTTTAAACTCCATCTGTCGGATGGCCAACAGCATAATAAAAGGAATGACAGCTACTAGGATAAGTATCCTGGCTATTCTCCAGAGTGAGGTGACTGTCTGCTGTACAGGGCAGGCATTTTCAAACAGTTTGCAACCCTATCAGTGACCTTTTTTTCCCCCCTCACAATACAATTTCCTGATACAACTATTAATCTTTAGTTGCAGATTATTACCTATTATCTACTCTTTTGCCATAATCTTTCAGATCTCTCAGGCAAAGCCGGGACTCCTCTCCACTTAATCCTAAAACAAACAACTGCACCAAAGAACTTTTGATATAAATAAATAAATAGTTAAAATCCAGGAGATGATAAAAATGTGGTCACTGAATACAAAATACACAGAATTCTGGAAGCTCTGTGCAGTCAGCAAGAGAAGAGGCAGACTGATCCGTACTTGTTCCTCTTAATGAACATTACATTGTTGTAGATTACTGTCAGAACACTGAAAATAGAACACCAAAGAGACAAAAGAAACTCAACCCCTTTGTCTCCTCACAAACTCTTTATTGACTGTATCTTTCCATCACCTTCTGCACTGGTCCCATACCAGGGATGCTCTGTTTATCCAAAAGAGAGTACTTAATATTCCTGTCATTCAATATTTAGTGCTTGATGTTACACTTCCTAGGGAACAAATAGCTGGAAGACTATCACCTACGCTGCTAAAAACAGAACCAGTCAGCCAATTTCACATGAAACTTCTGTTCATGAACCCAATCAGCTCTCCCACATAGAGTCAGTCTACACAGATCATCAGATTGTTCATGATCTGTTGGGGCTACAAGCAGGTCACATCTTCAAAGCATCATTTAGACATCAACTATGAGTCCCTTAAAATTCCTTGAAGCAGAAACTGGCACTCTGGAATGGACATCTTTTTGCTCGCCCTTTGTGTCCATCTGTTATCCATCATCAGCTTCAGTTACGAAATTAGTTATGAAACAGGAAAAAAAAACCAAAACAGAAGCACCATAAATATCAGAACTAAAAAAGGCTGATGTCCTATGAATTCTTGTCTCATGGCTGACTGATTCTGTATCTTTTCTAGACTCAGACTAAGATTTACATGGCCTTTGTTTCCTATAAAGTTCAGTCTTTAACAAAGTGCAAGCTCCCACTGAAAATTTCCCTTAGCTGGGATGCTTGTAGGATCTCTCTTCCTGTTACATGACTATTTATATGTCTTGTAAGAACTTAGCTACAAGTGTGCCTCTACAGGAATACCACAGACCAGGAGAAGGTAAGATAGCAAAGGACACTCCCCCTATGATACAACGTGTGGTGACAATGGCCAGGGAAGAAGCCTTTAAACAACACTGGTTATCATTTCAACAGCCTCAGGACACCTCAGCTGGAGAGCTATGATCAGTGGGTGGCTTGTGACGTTTTACTGGGTACAGCACTGCGATTTTGTTTAGCTGATAGGACATCCTGCAACTTGAGATTGCACAGTATCTCCAAGGTTGTTCTGTCTTCCACTCTGATCCAGCCTTCTCCTAAACCACCTTGTTTCACTACTTATTCAACTGAGTTGCACCATGTCCCTATTGCACTCTGTTTCTACATATAGATGTAGATCTGAAAACAACTGGAAATAAATCTGTTCTCTACAATCTTATTTATTTGCCAAACTGAATAGTCCATTTCCTTGCCTATAGGAGTTTAGGGCCCTTTCTCTGGCGAAACAAGACTGCTCAGCTACTGCTGCCCAGTGCAGCTCCCTTTTAACAGGAGGCAGCTGCAGCAGGCAGTGTCTGACTTGAAATGAGTTTTGCAGCTGGCCATGATTCAAAGGCAGCTTTCACCAGGCACTGTTTTCATATTGTTAACAAATATGATAGCCACTTGGAGGTGGTAGTGAGCAATGGTTTTAATGAAACTAATGTTTGCCATCAAACCAAACTATGATAAAATAAAAAAAGCAAGAACTGCTGGAAGCCTATGAAGCATGCTATAAAAGCATGTGCCATAAAACTGAGACGATATAAATTTTCAGACTAATTTGATTGCTAGTGCAGATGCATAGCCGTTAATGCTCTATGGGTGATACATTAGCGGCAATTGAAACAAGACTAGCTTATTCCACGTTCAGTAAACTGAGCATGAGGTTGGCTGCAAATGGTCTGCTTAGCAGAATAGACTGAACATATGAAAAATTATTCATTATGAACATTTACAACCCACACATGTCATTTATATCATTTGACCACTCAACATAAAAAGTTTATTGTTTTTGGCAAAATAAGCTGCAAACATCCTTAATTGGGATGCAAATTTAATGCACAGTTTAGCACTGTTGACAGCTAAAAGGCTCATATGGACATTTCCATACATTTTTCCACTTACGCTACAGAAGGTGAACAGCAAATACACAGTCAAGAGCCACAATTATTTCAAGTGTAGTATTCTTATTTCACAGTTTTAAATGCTTGTCAGTATCACAAGACTGACTTACAAGATTTTATATGAAATGCACAAAGTGAACAAATTAGGTTTTATAATGAAATCAAACGTGAGAAAGCATGAAATGCTACAACTAATTTTTCAGACTAACTGCCTAACAGCTTCTACCAAATTTATTGTGCAGGATTGATAACTCAGCCTTCTATTACTTGCCTACTGACAGAAAATATTTAGAAAATATTTGTATTTAATATATAGATTAATATTTATATATTTATGTTTATATAGAGAGTAATATTTAATATATAGAAAATATTTAGAAAATATTTATGACAACATATTGTCGAATGCTGGTATTTTCCAATCACTGAAGCAAAGTTCAATGTATATAAACATATTTGACATACTGTTGGCTAGCACAAGCAAGATGAGGCCTGATCTACACCCGGTTAAACTCAGGGTAAGACTTGAATCAATTTTAATGGGAGTTTGATCAGAATTATTGGCTACATCTGTATGTACACAACTGTCTATGGCATGGCTGCCAGCTGGCCTACAGTGTCCTATTAACTTCATTGATGCTACTAAGTGCTATCACCACCTAAATCAGAGATCCTGCAGGAAATCTGCCTATTAAACTCCTTGCCTGCACAGACTCCCAAGCCATACCCAGGAACAGTGCTAGCTGTTTAGGGCCAGGGCACGCTGAGCAGCACACACAGCTGAGTTTCAGTTATACTGCTCAATCTACTAGCTGAGATGTAGCCACTGCAAGCCACTGTGCAAGCCACTTCACAACTTCTACGCACAATAAAAACCTCTCCACTCGTAATTAATACATTCTTGTTGTACAAAGATCACAGATAGCATATACAGGACGCCTATGTCACCAGGTGACACCACTGAAGTCATTTTTCTTTCACTGTCTGCATTTATTTAAATTTATGTTCTAGATGTTAACAATTCTCTTTGTCATACAGAATCTGTACAAAGAGCTAATTTCTCACAGGTCATAAAGCTCTGAATCTTTCTAATCATGTGCTATACATACATAAATTGAAATGCTAGGAAAGCATGCTTATGCCAAATACTATTACTATTCTTCCATTACTATGCAGGTAAAGTACAGCATTTCCATAGAAGTTGTGCATAAGTTTCTGCCCTTACATGCACATGGTTCTGAGTATTCTCCATAGTAACTACAATTTTCCATCTTTTCATCAGAATAAATGTTTTTACTCCTATCTATGTTTCAAGCTACCCTTGTGTCTTGAGTTTTTAGAATGTATGATTAAAGTACATTGCAATGTATGCTTAAATACACTAAAATAAACTTGTAGAAACTTGTGGGTTAGCTGCTCTTTAACAATTCAATTTACTGTAATGATCTGCAAATAAGAAGTGGAGCTTTTCTCCATTTATACAGTCTTGCCAACAAAAATACCAAGCTACTCAGAAGTGCAGAAAAAAAGAGGTGTTGCTTCATATGGGAATAGAAACTGATCCCTTTTGATGTAAATTGCAGCTTCTTATATGAATATCCCTACATATTACACCTGTGACTGTTTAACTGTCATCATCTAAAAATCACATTAGTGAAAACACACTTCAGTAAGTAATGCACTGGAGTCATTAATAAACCATTAGTCGTGGTTCACACAGCCATTTAGAAAGTTTCCAGTATTAGTACATTTTCATTCATAAAATTTCCTTTTGTTATAAAGGGAAATGCCTACTTTATATAAAATCATATGAGACTACTGACTAAAATTTCTTCAAGGACAATTACAGCTTTATTCTTTTTCTCAGCTTACTCATAGGTTATTCTACATAAAGTCTCCGTGTATAACTGTGTAAGTCCTGTTCTGGGCTGGTTCCCTCTCACGTGGGTAAATCTGTCCTGTCATCTCTCAAGACTAGGTTGAACTGCCTTCAGTAAATAGATCTGTACATGGTCAGGATACCTCCGTACTGCAGCCCTGTTTGCTCATCAAGCTCGGCGCCTTGCTTTGTGAGAACTTAGAAATTTTCTAGAAACTGATATCTCTTTCCTAGTCCAGTTTACCACAAGCAAGCAAACAAACAAAACAACAGTAATGCACATACATACCTAGCATGAGCATAACATACTTGCACCTTGTTTCTGCCTTTTCACTTTGCTACTGTGGTATAAAGAAATATTCATAAAATTGTGATTTCAAACGTGATTACTTTGTTTATACTCAGCTTTTCTTAAAAAGGCAGAACCTTAATTTCATTCACAAATTTTGCCATGAAAATGCTATAGCATTTTCTGCAAAACAGGGATTTATGTTAGTCAGTAGTTAGTCACAGCACAGCTTTGTACTGTAAAATACAGTGTTAATAAAACTGTCAAACCTCTTACCTGCTTGTCTACTCCATTGTATGAGAAACTTACTTTATTGACCGGAAGAATGTTTTTCACATTGAAGTAGAATCCAAAGTAAACCATGTTAAAAACTCCGTGACGGCCCAGTGTTGCAGTAAGACCTTTGTTGAGTCCATGGAGGCCCAAACCATCAGTTCTGATGATCTGCTGAGCTTGAACAAAGCTAGATGGTTGCTTCACAAGTTAAGTAAAGGAAGGAAGAGATCATCTTTAGAAAAAGAAAACAATAACCTCTGCCTCATTTCAATCCCGTTGACAAACACAGCGTTGCCAGCTCCTGTCATTTTATCTTAAGTATCGCCATATTTTTTTTCATTACAAAAAATATTCCTCATTTTTCTGATTGCAGAAAAAAAGATGAAAACATCCCTAAAGCAAAGAAAGCAATCTTAAAATCATCATTTCAAAGGTTAGTTAAATTTTATAGAGAAACTCATGGCATCAGATGTGTGAATTTGGCAAGAGTTTGCTTTTTTTTTTTAAATCACAGTGTGTGCTGTTAAGATTATGACAGATGAAACCCTTGCACAACTAGAGTATACAACAATAATTCTGGACAATTAGAAGATTAGAAAAAAAGCTTCTAAAGTAAAACCAGTGGCACAGGGGCATGCACTACAAGGGAATGATGAAAGAACAGAATTAGAACAGGAAATAAGTTGAGCCATTATGGATAGGATAGCAAGTTGTTGGGAGCCACAGATTGGAGCCGCAAAGGACAATATAAATATCTGTGTTGAGCAGTTTGGCAGTTCCAGATTCAGTGTTAGAAATAAAATTGGAAGATGACAAAAGGCATATATGCTATCTCAGAATGTTTAATTTTATAACACTGACTTTTGAAGGAGTTACTGAGTACACAGAACTTTTTAAAATTAGACCATACATTAAATGATTTTCTGTCATTGAGGCAGGCAACTAACTTTAATATTGTGGTAAAACTCTAGAAAAGAAGGCACAATTTTTTTTTTCTCGTAAGCATCCAACTGGAAATCCTGTTCTGCACTCCGGCTGAATAACTTGAGGTAAAAGGTGTAGTTAGACTTTGAAAATCACAACACCGAGGTATCACAATCACCAAGGTATAGATTTAGGAAATTGACTTTAGAAATCCTGTTTTGAAAATAATGTCCAAAAGGCATAGAAATCCTCTTAGCCAGCCAACTGCTACCTAATAAGAAACACAGAGGACAAAACTTCCTCAGGATCCCCTTATATAACAATGAGTTCCACAGACGCTATCTGCCTGACTAAGTACCCGTTTGATCTGTACCACAATATACTGTGATACTACTGATGATACTTCTGAAGTATTAGATCTCTTTTTAGCAGAATTATGGAAAAGCTCCTCTCAAAAAACTGTTGTTGTGAGTTTGTTTTTTCCAAAGCATAAAACCAGCTCTAGGTAATCAAACATTTAATTATAAGGGAAAAGATGACTTCCACTAGGCTGCTCAAACATGAAAATACAGAAGAATTTTGACTACAGTGCTGTGAACATTGCTAATTTCAATGTGCTTGTTTATTGCCTTCCCATTTCAAAATATCACTGTAGTGATCAACACCATCAGCCAAATTATCCCTGTTATAACTGACACAGCATATCACTGCTTATTTAGGTGACTGACAGATCTGGTCTTTAATACTAGGTTTCATTCTTTTTTTTCATATTTAGCAACCAATATTATCCTGTTAATGCTTTGAACACATTTTACTAAATTCACTTTCCTAACTACTACCAGGATTCAAATCAGAAGCTATTAAAAAATGTAGATTCCCAATATGGAATGTGGTCCAGATACTTGCAATAGCACCTTTTCTCATGCACAAAAAATGAAGATTAGACCTTTAAAAAAAGAACAAAAACAAACAAAAAATACTAGTTGTCTGGAATAAAGTGATTTAAGCTGAAGAGAGCAGCTTTCAATTGTAAGGTATCCCTTGGTCTTATACTGAATACAGATTTACTTCTGACTCACAAAGAATGCCTGCCAGTTGCTGAACACCCGAGATGAGATTCATCAGTCCTAATGTCTATATCTGCAAACTCTATATCTACAACTGAGCTACTCAAAGAGACTCCTTTTTTAGTCCTTTAGCAATAAGGAGGGCTACCCTAGACATTTAAAATGTCAGCTGATCAAGACACAGAAGTTCTAAATTCTATGCTAATGACAAAAGGACCTGAGGATAACTAATCTGGAGAAATTTGCTGTATAAACAACCAGAGTTTGACTCACTTCAGACAATTGCTGACTTGTACTTAATAGAGACCTAGACAGCAAGATGAGACTGTCATCTCATCTTAGAGCACAAACTTGTAAAATCAAGTGAGAAGACTTTTATAATCACATCAGCATCTATAGCCAATGAGTTTTCCATGGCTACAGGGAAAAGACAAACAAAAAAAAAATAGGGACTTCTATCTAAAAAAAAATTGCAATATTTTTACCTGCAGCAATCCAAATGACAATAGTGCCAATGTGTGATTTATTGCAGCCTTCCTCTTTAAACCTATCAGCCCTAGAAAGATGATCTGGTACCACTGAATAATTCAACTGTCACTGTACTGTGTGAATATTTGTTTTGGGGGTGTGCAGGAGTCTGGGTGTGGATGTATGTGTTCATGCTCTTCCTTGTTCCTTTAAACAAGATGTATTTATTATTTCAATACAGTAGTCAAAGAAATATGTGACCTGCATTAGGTTTCATCATATAATATGAAAGCTACACAATGGGATAGGTACATACCTTACCTAAACCTTTTAGAAAAACAGTGCATGGTAATGAAGTGAGTGTACCATTACCCTACACTCTGTAATAACGTGCAAGTGCTTCTTCCAGTAGGCTTGAGTTTACATGCTTTGTATGGAATGTCTTTTAACATGTTCTTAATGAGAACTTGAGATTGTGGTACTGAAGCCACTAGTTTTTCTGATTTACAAATTCTAAAATTATAATCCTTTTAAAAATAGATATTTAAAATGGATATCTGTGATTTAAGAACTTAAGACCCCTAGAGTATTTAATATCTGGGCAAATAGATACTTTCAATCCTATTTTAAGTGTAAATTAGGTACCTTCCTGAGATAGAAATCCTCCCATGCACTGCTTTCTCCTTGCAGTAACTCAACCCTTTTTTTTCCTGTACAGTATGAACAATTTGTTTCAGTGGTTTTACTGCTCATAGTTAAAAAATGTCTAGGCCAGAGACCCTGGGCAACCTGACATCTCTGGTATGCATTGAGAATGTAACAAAAATTTATCAAATGTTATAAAATTTATTCTCTAGGGGAGTGCTTCTCTGAATGAATTACAGAGTCCATAACAGCTACTTTTAACATCAATAAATTCATCCAAGATCATGAAATCTATCAGCTACATTTCAACATAAAAGACACCAGCTGGACCCTGCCCAGGGCATTGTACCTCAGTATCTTATGCCAACCCTCTGTTCTCACTAGAGGTCTGGAGCCTGCCAGGGTAAACGTACGTAAGAGTCTCAGATTTGTACTTCAGGATAAGAATTCTTCACTGTACTACTGGCAGCTGTGGGAGTAAAGAGGTGCGCTGAATATCTGCAGTGGAAATACTGACACAGAGGACAGTACTGTATGCATCTTGATGCACGTCTGACAGCATAATTTAATGAATCTTTTATCTCATTTTTCCTTTTCCACTAGGCTTGTGGGAAAATCAATTGCATCAACCCACTACAGTACAGATATTTTGGTTTAAACGTGAACTTTCAAGTGCACAACACTTAATAAAGCAAAACAAACAGCGGTGCAATTCTCATACCTCTGTGAAACTGTTTCGATTTGCCTGCAAGGTAACCTTTACTACTTCAAAAGGGTTGACCACAACTGCCTCCGTTAGTCCAGATCCCAAGCCAGCTACTGCAAACGCCTAGGAAAGTTAATCAATATGTAAAAATGAAGTAGTAAAATATATTCAGATTATGAAACGGAATGAGAGAATACAATGAAAGACTTCAGCTATGCGTCAGTGTTCTACTACAAAAAAAAAAAAAAAAAGCTAGACCTTGATCAGATGCTGACAGTTCTTGAAGACAATGTGACAATAGCCACAAACCACATTCCAAAAAATGCAAAATAAAGTGTCATAGCGCTCTGTGGTATTGATTTATGATGAAAACATGGAAAAACAATGCCCTCCTATCAGCTTTGGGTGGAGCCTGAATAAAAATACAAATATAAATGCAGTCACACAGCAAGGAAAAAAGCTAGAAGTGAGGTAATTAGTCAAACTGTGCAAAGAGAAGAAAAGTCCCCCTAAGCAAACACCCATCTTGAAAAGGTTTGGATGGGAATAAGTGGCACACATGGAAATGTCAGCGCTCTTTCAGAGGGTGAATTATTTCCATTTATTTAGAAGCTGATGGTAATTACAGCCACAGAAATGGTGATATTCACTACTTTGCTTTCCTCAGGAAACAGAATTAGAAATATGGGTTTTTTTTTTTGTAGGTTTTTGTTTTTGCTTCTAGTAACAGAAAAATAATTTAAATATTCAGATCTCTTAAGAAAAATCAGTGATTAATTTTTGTGATCACTTTGCACTTCTATTGCTTCCATTTCTTGTCTCTAAACTTTTGAGTGGCTGAAAAGAGTCCCAGGACCATAATACAATATGTTGAGTATATCTGTCAAAATTCAAGGAAAAACAGTGGTGAGGAAAAAACAATAGTGAGAAAAAGAATTCATTCAATACAGAAGGTTTTGAGCCAGGACTCTAGGGAGCTCAAGAAAGAGAATGGTAAACTGGGAGGGTAGTGGCAGGCATTATCCGTAGTGCCTTTGCCTCCAGCCATACTACCATATTACCAACACACCAATTTTTTCAATGTAAAATAGGAACATAATCTATCCCTTTCACCATCAACTAGCAGGAATATGATGCTAATGTATACATCTCTCTTTTGACAGTAATTTTTCTCTCAGAAAGAATTCTGTGGAGGCACTTCTGGACATTCTGTGTAGCTTAAGCCAGAATCTCTCTCAGTTGTTTTTTCTCTCTCTATCATGCCTACCTCAAAAAAGAGCAAAAATGCCTCTATGGTAATCAAAAATGCACCAAAAATGTGCAAGAACATTGGGATGGCTGGTAGCTGTTTTACCTGCTGTATGAATTGGAGCAGCTTTTGGTCAGCAATGACGTGTTTATTTTTTATGGGCAATTTTCTCAAGATTTTCCTGAAAATTTTAACACAGTTGGTATTGGGAATTTTTCACTACCCTAACCTATGTAGCGTGTCTAGAATATCAGTTCTTTCATATAATTGTCATGCCATTATTGTGAAAAATATGCATTAACTATCATTTATAGAAAGTAGTAATACAAAACTTATTCTTATTCTAAAAGATACCATAGAATTAAGCCCTATATATGAGCAGGCAGACTAGCATGCTAGCCACATTCAGTATAAAATCATTTTGTGTACCCCTTAAAATTTGGGCTTCCAATATGGAAGGAAACAGATGGGATTGTTCAATGTATATGTCTGAAAATAGAACATGAAGTGTTATCATACATACCAGTCCTGGTGATAAAGATGAATATCCTAGTAGCTTCTTGTATTGTTCAAAGGTGAAGAACTATAAAGAAAAGTTAGACTGAAATTGCATGGAAGAAATTGTGAGTCAATTACACAAGATAGTAAACCAAATTACAATATTTCACTACCTCATATCTTAAGTAGTCACATGCAGAGCTGAAAAATAAACACAAGCTATTTTTCATTTTTCAATGAGTTTCATGCTCACTCTATCAGTGTTTAATGTGCAAATGAAGATAACTAGGCTTCAAAACCGAAGTATAACATGCACAACATCAGCATAAATGCAATTAATATTTCATATAAGGGTTCACTTAAAACACAGTTTTTGTTTTCAGTTTATTATTTTTCCTCTATCATCTAATTTTCTTATACTGGTTTAAATGTAGTAGCACATACTACATCCCACAAGAAATCATCCTTGTATTTAATATAACATATTGCAGTCACCTTCCTATATCTCATATATTGGTCTACTTCTCAACAGAAAGATGTAATTGCACATTTTTAAGATGGAAAGTGAGTAGGTTATTATAGTTTCTAATTTTCAAGAGACACATCTCTTATAGTTCTTGCTCTTTATAAACAAGTGTCAGTCAGTGGCAGTGGTGCTCAGAAGTTCTGATCATCTGAAGTTCCTGAGTTTAAAATGCTAAGCTCTTTTGTGTTTGAACTTCAAGAAAGAAATGAGAACCTTTTTTCACCTGCACCAATGTTCTTCAGTTAAGACCTGCTTAATCTAAAAAGATGCTAGGATCTCACTGAATACAACAGAGATACAGGTGTTAATAATAAGACCATATTTACAAAAGTAGGACATGTATTACACTTCTATAACACAAAATTAAGATTTTAAATACAGAAAGCTGAAGGACTGAATACTCTAGCCAGTGGATAAATGTTCTTTTTTATTATCAAAAAGGATTACAGTGTTTTGCAGAAAAGGCCCTATAAACAGAGCCTTGATTACAACTGCAATCCAAATAGTGTACAGATCTCACATTCATTTTGCAAACATACTGCAAATATGTTTAAAATCATTGTACTTTGACAACAATCAGAAAAGACAGAAGATTTTCTTAGACTGTAGGTCTGTCTTATTGGATAACTGAAGATATCATTTTACTTATAGGGAAAAGGAAATCTTTGAGAAAGTGTCAGTTGTAGGATGAGTTACTTCTCAGAACTAAATTCAATTCTTACTGCAATAAAAGTTTGCTTTATTCACTCTCCAGCATCTTCCTACTCATTGCTGCCCTCCTAACCTTTAATGGAATTTCTGGTATTCCTTAATGTTTTCCATAGTGTCACAGATCTGTAAAATGGTTGTAATAAAGGCAGAAATACATTGATAGCAATTTTTTGGTCTTAAAATTTTTACCTTAAAAATCAATCGCTTCCTACAGTCATAAATAAAATAAGTACTTAATAGTAACTATGTTTCATATCATTTTTGAAAGAAAATAAATAAATACCAGTAAAACCCAATCTAAATGTTTCTGGATATAATAGAGCTAGTATACATACAGTTTTGCTAAAAGTATCCAACTATATCATATGGATTTATATTATCTATATCTACCCTAGTTGTTTTTAAAAAAAGAGTAATTTGTCTTTCTCTCTACGGTTGTATTAAGTTAATAGCCTTGTGCAAAAAAAAATCCCACAATAAACGTATTTAATGCATGCTTTTGTGTATATAATAACCAATATTGTCCATCTGGCAAAGATACACTTTAATTCACAGAAAATAGTCAAAGTACTTACCAGATGTCTCAATAACACTAAGGTAAAAATACATGCTTAAAACAAGATGTCTGGGAATGCACGAACAATATAAATCGCCCCAAAAGTTCATCTGTTAACCATTCTATTGGCATCATCACTTCTTTTCTCCAAGTTTAATCTAACATAAATTTATAAACTTTGACTTTTCATCTTACAGAAATACCTATTTTCCTTCTTAGGAAGGGAAATAAAGAGAAAGAATAAAAAGAAATAGCAAGACAGACATGAGAATCTACTTGCATAAATTGAACCTGCATCTTTGACACAACATGAAAGCTGTGGCTAAATAACTTTGTTTTAGCAGCTTTATATTTTTTAGCAAATAATCATTTCAGGTAAACATATTTCAGTAGCAAAATTAAATCCACAGCAAAATTAAATTTCTTCTTAGTACAAAATCTGCTTAGCTCAGTCTCTATACACTTTTATGAGATATAAAAGACACCTTACTCAGAAGTTTTCAAAAAAGTTCATTACAAACCCAAACAAGGCAAAAAAATTGCCCTTCTATCTTTTGTGCTTTCTATGACCTCAATAGGCATTGACACAGATCCTCATGAACCTAGCCAGTTTGGCAATGGGCAAGGGACATATTTAGGCCTCTTGAAATATGGAACACCTTCAGAGGAATAAAAGGTGGAGAATGAGCCAAAGGAAGCAGTGAGTTTCCATTAGTGTTTTACATTTATATCCAAACAAGTTTAGTGGAAATTAGGAGAAGAGAAATTAAGCCAAGCTTAATTCTCTTTGGGCCAAAGCATAGATTCAAACCCTACTTGGATGTTAGAAGTTGTGCTGGCAGATAACATCTGACATTAAATAGCTTCAGTCTCCAAGATCTTACAAGTACATCACTGTACTGCCCTATTCTTCCAGTGCAGAACAGAGCTGCTATCTCAAGATAACTTAATGCTCTGTTGGTGTCCTTGGAACAGCAAAAAGTTTATAGGAATAGTGCTAAGAATTAAGAAATTGATGATTTAATTTAAGAGCACATTTAGCATTTAGACCTGTTTCTCAAAGTTTCAGAAACCACACTGGGCTCTCACATTGATGCCCAAGAAGTATGTAGAAAGCATCTCACTAAGTAGCAGCAGTAAAATACATAAGAAGCTTATGATGTACAAAAGGAGGCTGAGACAACTGAGTTTGTTTACCCTGAAGTTATGAAGGCTAAGGGAATCTACTTCCTGTCTTATACTGTCTAGAGAAAGGTTAAAGAGAAGACACTCAGACTGTTCTCAGAGGTTCACAAAAACAACAAAAAAAAAGAAGCAAGAGGCAAAGCTACAACAGAGAAAATTTGGATTGAATATAAGGTAAAATTCTTTATAGTGAGAGCAATTGAGCACTGAAGCAAGAACACAGACAGGCTGCAGTCTTCATCCTGGAAAATTTTGAGAACTCAAGGTTCTAACTATGAAGTCAGAAATGCTTTGGGTAGTAGGTCATCAGATGACCCACAGAGATTTCTCCCAATTTAAATGTTTTTATTATTTTATAACTATATTTAATATTGTGGAGACTAAGCCACAGGACTAAGAGAAAGTGATTTGTCATTTTTGAATGACTCAGGCTGGTAGGGGAGAAATCAAACTTGGGTTTGTATTTTAACTAAACATATGCTGGAATCTGAAATGCATGATCAGATGAACTTTAAGTCATTTGTACTGCAATGAAATAAAGACACAACCAAAACATCAGTCTGAAGAAAACAAGTTATTAGGAAGCTTTTAAATATCATCCATTTTTCTTCACTGCCACTTTGCCATTAAATTGAACTTCAGTTTGCTAAGTTGTGTATCAAATAATTTTGAGATAGACGACATCATTTGCATCTAAAATGCTAGTGCAAACAAGAAGATAACATTAGCAGAATTCCTATTACAAGGTCACATCCTGGCACTTAATTCTAATATTCTTCCTCTATAAAGGAATTGGAACATGAATGATTAATAGCAGGCTAAGGCTCAGGACCATGTGCAGTTTTTTAGAATGAAACAAAAAAAGAAAGGAAAATCAAGATGTTCTGTATAGTAACTGCTTTTAAACATACTTGATGCAACTATAGAAAACTTCAAAGTTGTGAAGTGAAAGACAAAATGGACTCTTTGATAGATTTAGAACTGTAAGATGAGGTGACTTTTTTAAAGTAGATTTTGATAAAAGGGATTGTATGGTATAACTGAACAAAATTTGGTGTAATGATATATATTTGCATAGGAGTTGTACTAAAACTATGATCTACAAACTGACATAGGGGATAATAAAAGGAAATCAGATCAACATTTGACACTGAATACATTCTTATAGGCTAGCATCCATTTCAAGTTTAAAAGAGCTGGAGTAAAACATTCTTTGCATGATAGGAAGTTGTACCCACATATATACTCAATCTGGAAAAAAGCAACAATACAGACAAGGGTGTTCTTTGAAGTATATGAAAAATCTCAGGCAGCACTTAAAACCTACAGATACAGTACTTCAATTTTTTTAGTAAATACTTACTAGGAGTGGCTTCCTTAATTGTTCTTGTGCTCATTTATTAAGCCATGCACAGTATTAGTTGCTTTGTAAATTGGTAGGTGTTTCCAATTAAAGTTTAAAGCAGAGGTAATTGTGAAGCTAAAATCTGGCTTCCAGTATTTTATTATAAACTTTGTTTGTATAAACTAATCACAATTTGTTTTTTAGTAACATTATATTCACGATATATTCAGATAAAAAATGTCCTAGCTTTTAAAAGCATTATCCTACACTTCTTAATCAAGTAGAGTTTTTATTCAACAGAAAAGTTTCCTCCTTGTAAAAATCAGATCAACATGCCAAAGAATCTTAAGAATCAAATGTCAATCAGTGTGGAAGAAACACAATATATTAGAGCTGTTCTTCTTCTTGCTTATGTTTTTAAAGGGAAAAGTACGTTGATTTATTTTTTTACCTTCACTGCCCTTTTGGGTGTCTCAGCCAAGATGGGAGGGAGTATTCCTTTGTAGAAACCAAGCAATCTATTGAAGAAAAAAACATCATTTTTCGTATGGATAAACAGCAGATCATTGCCATATTGCCAATTCAATTTTCCCTTTCAGCCAAAGCAATTAACCTTTCCAAACATACAAACACATAATAGTAATGCTTTTTCTTTTCTTTACTAATTAATGTATTACCTATTCTATTATGTGCTAGTGAAAAGACAATCAAAGGTCAGGAATTAAAAAGTAAAAATTCAGTCAAATTTTCCAGAGTAGACAAGAAATTATATTTAAAAAAAGAGGAACAATTTTGACAGTGATGACGAAGTACTATTTCATTGTACGTGTTTTTTTGATGTAGCAATAATGATATTTAAAATTGAAGTAACAAAATACAAATTTGAAAAAAACCTTGATTTAAGCAAGCTGCATACAAAAATCTGCATGCTCATTTCAGATACTAGGTTAAGGCATCTTTTAAAATTTTGGTTTTTACATGCTTGAAAATACATGAAATAACTTTTTTGGACAATTCAGTTTTCAATACAAGTTAGGTATTCACAGAGACAATACATGGATTTCATCTTGGAAAAAAACTAAAAAAAAAAAAGTAGTAATGTCTTGCTACTGTACTCATTCAGGACTTTGCCCTTCTCCAGGCCTGGCCCCATAAATGGTCAAGGGATTTACAGTAGATCTAGTCTTCTGGAGTTCGGCTGAAGCCAAGTGTCGATCTATTGCAATACTTTGCATTACCTAAATTTTATATATATATATAATTTAGGTATTTGAAGGCAGCCTGAGTTCCACTTACTAGACAAGTTTGGATCTTGGGAATACATCAGATAGTTCTCAGAATCCCCAGCTGAGGTAAAAGTAGACATTGTTTGTGACTGCTAGACCTCCACATTACAGAGGTAGTGCTTAGCAATTAGCAAAAAGCTACCTTGTCAGCTAACAAGAGTATATCTTAACACTTATCCATCTTCAGATATCTTATGCTTCTTTAAAGACTGTAGGAGGAAAACAGTCTATAGAAGAAATCACTTTTAGAAATGTTTAAAGGTGATTCATCTTTATAAAACTGCCCACTATACAGGATATTTTTGCAGGGTGTAAAACAGTAATCACATCAACAGAATCTTCTATAGCTATCTTATGCACATCAAAGAAAAACAATTAAATTCACAATCCTCATCCAACTGTAAAAAGCTACAAATGCTGTACCATCTTTTTCACCCTCCTTCTAACATTTCTTTGAAGTTCTGTTACTAAGCTACTCCACTGTAAATAAAATATTTAGGTTTTGAAGAGTTTCCAGAGTGGGAATATCACTTATAGTTCCTCTGAAGATATAGATTCCAGTCTACTATGAAAAGAAACTTTGATCATTTTATACATTGATGGTTTCATGACAAAACCCTGAACGTCCCTAGCTAAGAGATTTCAGGAATTCATTGGAGGAGTCAGATGTTTGAATTTCTTCCAAGTCTCAGTTTAGGAACAGAAAAAAATATAGATACACAAACATATATCTATACCTACATGTATTGCTCTACAGATGTAGATATAGATATAACCAGACATATAGATATACATAACCATAGATATTGACAAAACAATATAGGTATAAATAGAGTGGCTACAGTTTTAGCTTTTAACAGTTTATATATATTCACAGTATACTCTTGCTGATTCAGCAAGCTATTGAAACATGGAACAACTTTATGCATGTGATTCATATAGTTTAACATGAGTTCAAACTGAAATCATGGTCCAAGAAGGATCAGCAAAAAAGAACTCAAATTCCTATAAACACCTTCTTCCTTACAGTTCAATCTAAAACACTGTAAGTGTATTTACAACAAGCATCACATTTAGAATTTCTAGTACTCCAGCATGATTGGAAATGGAAAGTGGAATATGCTCCACTGCTCTACACACAGGTGTAGTTCTAACTAATGAGAAGTGAGACCTAAACTTTATCCAGATTTTCTCATTACAAAAATATGTATAAATGGAGAGATAACTCTGTTAGTTCTAATTCCCACAACAGCATTACCTGGACTTACACAGCGGTTCAGGTTGCTTTTTTAGTGTAGCCTTCATGCATGTTAAAATAGATGTAGCTATTGAAAATATAAGTTACATAACATTCCTGTGGGCTATGAAAATATCAGGAAAACTCTTCAGAGAAATTGTAGAGGGGAAGAATAACCTGAACTGAGCAACACATTCACAATCTCAGCAATATCGGTAGACAAAAAATTGCTTCTAAAAAGAAATCCAAAATTCTGCCACATTTCAATATTGAAATACCAGCTATTCAGATGATTAGTAGGGCAAGCTTTGGGCTGTTTGAAAATTCTAGAAAAGTGAGAACTGAAAACACTAAAAGCAATTATCCATTACTCCTGAATCACAGAAGGGTTGAGGCTGGCAGGTACTTCCAAGTCCATCTGCTTCAACCCATCCTCTAGCAGGGGCAAACAGACTAGGGTGCTCAGGACTGTGACCAGTCACAATACCTCTAAGGAGGCAGACTCCACAATGTCTCTGGTTACCCTGTTCAATCCTTCTCACAATACAAGAGTGCTTTCTGATGTACTGATCACACCTTTGGTACTCTTGTTTGTGCCCATAGCCTCTTGTCCTCTTACTGGGCATGACTGACAGGAGCCTGGCCTCATCCTCTTTGTGCCTTCTCTTCACATATTTATACACATTGATAAGAGCCCCTTAAGCCTTCTCTTTCCAGGCGGAACAGTTCCAGCTCTCCCAGCTTTTCTTCCATAGAAGAGATGTTTCAGCCACGTACTCATTTTTGTGGCTCTTTGCTGGACTTTCTCCAGTGTGCCCAACTGTTTTGTATGGAGGAGCTCAGAACTCAGCACAGCACTCCAGATGTGGCTTCATCAGAGCTGATCAGAAAAGAAGGATCACCTCCCTTCACCTGCTGCCAATAGTCCTCATAATGCTTTTCTTGCTTCGGGCATTTATTTGTTTAAATGCAAATGCTTGAATTTGCTTGAGGTGACAGCTGAAGGTGACAGCTGAGCTGTGGATGGTGTGTTCCCTTCGGTTCCCACTACCCATGCCCTTTGTCAGCCCTGTCCATTGCTCCATGACAAGGCTACTGGTAACTCTCACCCTCACCTGTTTTTCCTGGTTTAAAGTTCTCACCAGGACAGCCGTCCTGGGCACAATACGTGAAGCCAATCTGCTGTAAGGCCAACACTGATGGCTTTCTCCTTTCTCTACTGTGAGCGAGGAAAACCTGCAGAGTTCAGCAGCTATATTCATGTCCCTACAAGTGGGCTTCACTGTTTTAATCCTCTTCTCTTTTGTGGAGGCAAATTTTACCACACAAAAACAGAGAGGAAGGAGTTAAGATCTATTCCTATGGAACATATTAAGAAATCTAAAAACACATGAAAACTTTAGGATATATATACATATAGGCAATATGTAATTCAGTAAACATGGTAAGAACTAGCTCAGTATTTAATTACAAAATGTGGCTTGTTTGGTTTCTTTTTCCTTGTTTGAAATAGAATCTGAAAAAAAAAAAAAGGTTAGAAAGCACAGTTATTGAGATGAAATGAATGATGGCAGGAACTAAAAAACTAAAATAGTCCCATCTCATCACCATCTCTTATCAATTGAACACATTTTTGCATGAAGCAGAGACTCTTCTGTTCCTGAGATGAGCTGAGCAGCTGCCACCACATTTTTCAAGTAATGCTTTACAAATCATGTCCATTAAAGATTTCATTATTTGAAATCTTTGCAGAATGAACCATTCATTTATTTTTAAACACTAGCATGATGATAACAGAAACTTAAATGGCTCCCATGCCAGCAAGAACGTGCATCCACACACAAAAATATTATACTTCTTTTCTCTTTGGTCAATAACAACGAGTTAGCCTACTTGCTCACAGTGCACAAAATTTTTCAAAGTAAACTAATGAATGGTGATGACATTTCACATTTGAAAGATGTTATCACCTGGATTCAGAACTCTCTTCAAAAAACCAGTGTTCAGAAAAACTGTGGAACAGCAGCAGTCACTGCAGCCTGTGATAGGAGAGAGGGTGTGACATCATATTCCTAGCTAGAAACATTGGAAAGAACAAGTAAATCTCTAACAGAAATACAGCAACATCTTATTTTGTTTCAGCAATAATGGTCTAAATGAATACCACCATTCAATTGTATTCTGGGCGACAGCCCAAACTCATCTTTGCAGAAGTTGATTTTGAAACATTACAGTCAATCATGTATTCTCAATTTGTTCTTTTAGGCTTTAGCTATCCTTCTGGTTTCCATTTCTTCTTTGGAAGCCTTGAGTCATTCATCCTGGCAAGACAACTAACCCAAATCAGTTATTTTCTCCAAACTATGCTGAAATTGTGATCTTGCTTAGTTTGTTGTTTTCTTTCTCTCTTTCACATAATTTTCTCTTTAAGGATCTAATAAAGCTGATTGAAGGCATGAACACAATATTGCTTTTCTTATATTGCTGTCAAATTGAAGTTTCTTACCCACACTGTTTTATAATTGAAACAAAACACCTCTTAGGTCCAATACTACTTTCATTACCTCTATATTATCCCAAGTATAAATAAAAGACCTGGGTTTCATGATCATGTCACTTATACTAAATGGAATGTGCAACTTTCTGTTTTTACAAGGATTTTTCTTTCAACAAAGAGAAGGAATTCTAAAGACATACTTGGCAGAAGAGTGGCTATTCTTCAAAAAGACAGAAAGAATACGTATCTGAATGTAACAAAATTTACTTAAATTTTTTTACACCAGGGAAAAGATATTTTTTTATTTCATGGTATGTAGCATATTGTGAACTTATTACTATCAGACGGTAAATCATCTGAAATTGGAGCAATATGCCTTTAATATATGCACTAGTGTGAGGTAATCTCTATGTTGACCTAGCTGGAGATTTCAAAGATTCTGAATTCCCAGAAGTTTCAGGAAAACTAGCAAGTGTTTAGTGAAGACAGATGCAAATT